TTATTTATTTATTTATTTATTTATTTATTTATTTATTTATTTATTTAATAAGATTTGTATATTACAGCCTCACATGTCAGACAGCTGGTTTAATAGGAATCTTTTGCCAGCCTTCATCTTTTTTCCCGGCGACCTTCAGGCCGATGAAAAGACGGACACACACTGCGTTTTTGTGCGTTTCAGGGCCACACACAGCAGTTTGTTATTTTTGTGGGTGGAAAAAAAAACATCCAGCTGCCCATTTGATTCCAGTCCAGGTTGATTTATGCTGTCAATTATGCGGAGAAAGGGAGAGGAGAGAGCGCTTAGCTCTTTTTCCTTACACAGAAACGACGCATAAAAACAAAATGGGCTAAATTAAAGGTCTGTAAGGTGGAAAAACAGGTCACCAAATAAACAGGATTCGAGTAAGAATGAGGCCAAAGACAGAAATGTTTGACTAGATAAATAAATGTATGTAGAAAGACCCCTGACGTTAGCATTCCTGCTAAATAATCAGCTTTTTAGTGTGTTTGCATGAGTGATTTTCACGGGCCGGGACCTCGATTTGCTTTGGTAAAACCGGCATCTTGTGCGAGTGGAGAAAACCAGAAGCTTTGCACCTTTTTAACTGACCGATTTAACCTTTTGGCCTCCCAAACGTCCAGATCTGTGGCCATTCATTAGCGTTTTCCATTTAGATGCTGCTTTTATTTGTTCTAGAAATGGAAGAGCTCATTGTCTTTAGCTAGCAGAAGCCGGGCTGCTTGTTTATTTTTATTTCCCTTTTCAATCTTTTAACCCTATAAAGCCAAATTTATCATATTTGATTCATACGGTTTCTGAAGTCTTTTGGATCTGAGACTTTCTGCATCATTCAGTGGTAAAAGCTTTGCTCAAACCCCTGTTGTACACATTCAGATATACCTGATAACAGCCAGTAGAAGACTACACCAACATATATTTTTGACTTATTGCACGCTAATTTGATCAAAATAATTTCTGTTTTTTTTTCTTCATGTGTTGTTGAGGGGCCAAAGAAAGACTTCAGACTAAAAAAATCCAATATTCTTCCTATTTTTCTTGGATCGGGCTTTAAAGGGTTAAATGTATTTTTAAATTTCTCCATGTGTCTCTTTCAGGTTTTACCAGTTCCAGTGCTCAGTTTGTGCAAAAGGACCAGAGACCATCCAAAGACTGCCCATGAACTGGTGATTTTTTAAGATTTATTCCCTGATGCAGGACTAGAAAATCCCACTTAGAACACCAAAACTGACTTTTGTCTCATTCACACGTCTGCTAGATTCAGAGAAAACGTCATGGTGTTGAGAATAACTTTGTCTTGTGTTGTCTGAGCTGTATCTGTCTGCTTTAAAGGGTACATATTATGGAAAACCAAGTTTTTAATCATTTGATTGTGTACATTTGGGACTGTGGAGGGCCTATCAGCAGGAAAAGTGTGAAAAAAAATGACTCAGTCATGTTTTTGTGGGCCGCCTCAGTCTGAATCCAGGA